TAAACGTTCAAATTCAAAAAAAATTTTTTTATCGTTATTGAAAAAAAATTTTTTATTGTTATTAATTAAAAGTTAAAGGGATCCAATGCAAAATTGCACCCCAAATTTTTTTTTTTTAGTATTAAATAAGATGCCACACAAATACTATTTTCAAACAGGCGATAAATTATAAACGCTTCTAACAGGTGTGGATTTGATTAAGATTATCAAAGTTACCACGTATCATGAAGCGAATATCAAACCAATTTATAAATCCTTTGGTTCACACGCGGATTCTTTCAAAGTATTGAGAGTAATTTACTGTAACCGCTGAAGGATACATTTAAGAATTTCGAATATTTACAAAAAAAAAAAATTTATTTTCCAGTTTTTCTTTGGTCCAGTTAACATAAAAATAAACGTTGAGGTGGTGACTATATATTTTAATGTCTTTTTTGACATATAGTAAGTAAACACATCAGTATTGGTCGATGACCTCAACTTCTGGACTTATTAATAAGTATAATCATAAGTTTATATACTACTAAAATTGATGGAAAAAATTATGGGATTCGTAAAAAATCTACGTGTGCTATTTTTTTAATTGGTCAATCAAATAAAATAACATCATTAAAACAAAATTTTTTCGCTATCCGAATACTAATTATTGAATATTCGTTCCTCTACCACTTTTAGCTATAAGACCACGAAAATTTACGATTACCTAACTTTACTGTATATTACAATTATTTGTCCTTATAACTTTGTTCTATTTCGTGGACCATCAGCTCACCTTCAGAATATCTTTTCTCGAGAAAGTCTTCCTTTTACGTTGCTTAATAGATACAATTTTATATTTTGCGATTGGGTAAAATAGTGTTCTTTTTTACTCTTTTGATTTATTTTATTATATTGATTAATATTACTAATAAATACTTTTAACTCTATTTTTCTTGGCGTTTAAAGTTAAAAGATACTTTCTCATCATAATATTCAGTGTAATTCAAATAATTGCACTTATAAGCGATTAATATATATCAAATCAAGTAACTTAGCAACGTTTAAATTTGAAAATAACTTCGTATTTTCCTGGTGGAAACGAGCACTTACATGTTTGCTATATGAGTTTCTAATAGGTTATCTATTTGAAATATGAATATTGGTACTGTAATTGATCTACGGTATTCAACCCCCATGCATTTTATACGACGCGTTATAACAAGAAGATATTGATATTGAAGGTGGGAAAAGAGTTAGTGTTTGGTCACTTCATCTGGACTTTCGCATAACCTACAATAGGCTAAGTCAAAAAGGCAGTAAATACTCTTTAGTGTTATTGCGGGAGAAATGTAAGTTATCGATCTTACAACAAACAAAATAGGAAGTATAAGGCAACTCACCAGGAGCGTGACTAAGGTGATTTAAGTAATTAGATAATTATGTTTTGACAATGTTTTGAGAACTTTATATTGTATTTATTACAATTGACTATTAGACCGGTAGATTCTGTCCTTTACTATGGTGAAATTACAACTCTTTAGAGACGTACGGAGCTCAAGGGGCTTTAAACAATCATTTTACTAAAAACTTCATTTCCTCATAGCCTATACCCCGACTTTCTATTTCTCTACGAAAACTACAATAAGAGAATGGCTTTTACAATCTAAGGTAACTTCAGGCTTCTTATTTAATCTTGAAAATATTATATTTACAATTCTTTGGTCTGAGCCCAATACTCAGCTTTCACACACCTTCTCAATACGCGTTGGTGTTACACCCGTTCGAATATTCTATCGAAGCCTATAGGATGATCATTACTTCGGTTACTCAATTCTTTAATCACGGGATAACGATAACGATAAGAAATTTTAATAGTACCCTGTGATAAGTACCCACTACCACTTTTACTAATAATTTTCTGGGTAAGACCCCGGGTACTACGTATATGCGGAAAATTACAGTACGTAGCGGAACAAATTTTAATGATTTTACTACTGTTATATAATCACAAGATATAAACTACGTTAAAAAATACTATGTTGCAAATTGACACAACTATCTCACATGATATCAATTCACTTGCCATATATTTTTCTTTTTAATTATAATGATTTATCGTGAAAAAAATAACTATCACATGCTACTAATTGAATTCTCTCATAAAAGATATAACTATCACATGCTACTAATTGAATTCTCATAAAAATATCTATTTTATCTCGCTATCATATAGTATCATAGTATCACACCCACCCAACAATTCACTAGATTCTCTCCCACATTTTTTCTTTTTTAATTCGAAAAATATCCCTTGCTTGAATTTACAGTATGTAGCATAACGATAAGTCACGTAATTTTCTTAAATAGATTTAATTGGCAAAAAATGTAGTACGAATTTTATAGATTCTGTAGCATTCTGCGGTGACAATGCTATTTCGCCATTATGACCCTGTGCCATATGGAGGGGCATGATGAATATGGAATTTTGGAATTTTTTGCCGCAGCACAATGTTGGAACGTAACACTAAAACCTCCCTATACCTTCTTTTATTAATATTACTTTACTGATTCTTGTGTTCAAGGGACGGAGTTCAAGCCTTTTTATACGAGAATATTAGAAAATATCAAAATTAATTCGATAGCTCTGTTCATTCTGTCTCGAGAGAGCAAATGCAAACATAACTGCGCATTTTCGTAAGGAAACTAGCCCAGGCTGAAAAATTATGAACACAACACAAATACCACCACGAAACATTGTTCCACCTCCTCGTCCGTCCCACAACGGCTTACCAAACTCGTCGCCTGCAGAAAGAAGCCCACCAACCATTTTACAGTCTTCCTCCCCAAAAACGTCTGAAAAATTCAACTCATATAACCAAACCGTTACTGGCCACTCACTCGTACCTCAACGTTCAGCTCCGCCGCCACCAAAATCTGTGCAAAAATCTGTACAAATGAGCAGCAGCGCTTCCGGTTTGAGTCATAATGGTAATTTAAAGTCAAACTCGTCGTCGTTAAATTCACGCCATGGGTCTCCTACTTCAAAGAAATCTGCAAGTTTAGGTCCGCCTCCAAAACCTAACCGAACAACTGCTGGAACGCCAACAATTCAATCTCCTCTAGCTCGAAGTCCGTCTGCTGGTAGTACCCCGGCAAAATCCCCTGGGATGTCGACCGATTCTACTAGCGTTTCTCCTACTTCAACTAAATATTCGCAAAGTGGGAGTTATAGCTCTGTTAAAGCCCCACCTATCAACGTACACGGCGACGCTATTCAACCTGCAAACAATGAAAAAGACGGGCACAACAGATCTCTCAAAGGTGTACTGAATAACATGTTTAGTTCAATGACCGGTAAACAAATATTTTTTTATTTTATTTATTGAAGGATCTGGGATAATACTCAATGTTCATAGTATTAAAAATTGGCGACCATATATAAATATCTTAATTAGCAAGAGTATAAAATAAACGTATTACTTATCTTTAAATTTTTTTTTCCTCATTAGATCTATTATCAACACAAAAAAGAGTAGAAATTTCATCGCCTTATGACCCAGTTCATTTAACTCATGTTGGTTTCAACCAGGAAACTGGCGAATTCACGGTGAACTTACAACTACTTTTTTTTAATATATATATATATGTTATCCAATTTTTTCTTCAAAATACTAAATATATGCTACATAGGGCTTACCAAAAGAATGGCAGCAATTGTTACAAGAATCCGGTATCTCTAAAGAAGATCAACAGGCCCATCCTCAGGTATGCTTATAATTATATTATTGTGTAAAATATGTAAAATATTCGTGATAATATTAAATAACCATTAAAATTCATAGGCTGTGTTGGAAATTGTAAAATTTTATAAAGATACAACAGAAGGAGGCAAAAATTCAATTTGGGAAAAATTTCATCATGCAACACTCACAACAAGTCAATCACCACCATCTAGTTTGCCAACTTCACCTCGTATGGTGGATAAACAATTTGAGAATCCTGTGAGTGTAGAAAACCTCGTATTTTTGATATTAGTTCGCTAATTAACTATACGGTGAACAATCATTTGGGCAGGGTCAAATAAGGATGAATTTCATTTATATTTCGTTTTCGAATTAGAGATCTGCACCAAACCCTCCTTCGGAAAAGAAAAAGTCAAATCCACCAGGTGTCCCTGCAAGATCAGTTAATGCTCCAGCTGTAACGGTAGGTTTAATAATGTTTATTTACGATATTTATTTTTGCATAGTAACCAAATATTCATTAAATTTCTTATATATATTATATAGGAAAAAAGTCAAAATAGGCCAAAATCACCCAGCAAAGCTTCTTCACCAAAGCTTCCACGTAGTAAGTATTGTATAATATAGTTATTTTATTATAAATTTTATGTTTACTTATATCGATATGCATTCAAATAATTAGACCAAGAACCTCCAAGGCTTCCTCCAATACAGCCGTTACCTCCGCTCGAAAGTCGTACGATGCCAATAACGC